TCCCCTGTGCCACCTAGCTGCCCCGAGAAAACTTTTTTTTGATTGAGTCAAATAATTAGGACCCGGAGTGAACAGGCCTGTATACCTTAAATCAGTCAAAGCCATCATATGAAAGAGTAAGCAGTACCTGAAACAATCTGTATAAAAGGTAGGGACCTTTCTCAGAATGGGAGGGGAAGAATCTGAGGACGGAGAAAGCATGAAACAAAGGGAGATCTGAGCTTCAGAAAGTCAGGTCAACATGCATTTATTAAGCGCTTACTATGTGCCAGGCACTGTGCTAAGCACTGACGTACAAGTAAGAAATGTATATTATAGGAAACACCAATATGATATATATTATATAAAACACACACATGTATTGTTATATATATATTTTGTAAATCACTTTTCTATATGTGTATGTGTGTGTATGTTACATACACACACACACACACACACACACATATGATAAACTGGAAATAATCACAGAGGAAAGGCATTAGCATCACTTCTCATCACTTCCCAAATGGCTGCTCACTTGGACTCCATCATTGTCTCCAGAAACTCAACTTCCTGAAAGATAAAACAATTCTGAAACACACCTCCTCAGCACCCTGTCCTTAGGGTCCCTCCCTCCCTATGGTTAGAGAGGGTGGAGGGTAGACATTGGGGAGCTCCTCCCTGACCCTCTATTTAAGGAAGGGGTCCAGGGCAGACACCTCATCATTCCCCACTTGGTTGCAGAACTTTATTATGCCCTCTGGTGGAGTACCTTCCCTTCTTACCCTCTCCCCATTTTCAGCTTCTTTTTATGTGCTGTCTTGCCACATTAGATGGTGAGCTCTTTGAGGCAGGGACTATCCTTGCCTTTCTTTGTAGCATCAGTGCCTGGCACACAATAGGTGCTTAATAGATGTTTACTGACTGACTAGCATTAAGGGAATCTGGGAAAGGTTTCTCAAAGAAGGTAGGATTTTAGCTAAGATTTGAAGTAGCCTAGGGAAGCTAGGAGACAGAAGAGTAGGGAGAGACTTCTAGGCATGGCGGACAGCCAGTGAAAATCCTGAGTTGGGAGACAGACAGTCTTATTTGAGAAACAGCTAGGCGGCCACAGAGTATGTGGAAGGGGGTAAGATGTAAGAAGGTTGGGAAGTCGGAAGGATGCAGGTTTATGAAGGTCTTTAAAAGCTAAGCATGATTTTCTATTTGATCCTAGGGGTTATAAGGAGCTACAGGAGTTTATCAAATAGAAAGGTGACATGGTCAGACCTGTGCTTGACAAAGATCAATTTGACAGCTGACTGAAGTGAGGATGGATTTGAGGCAGGGAGACCAACTAGCAAGCTATTGTAATAATCCAAGCTTGAGGTGATGAGGGCATGGACCAAGGTGGTGACTGGCAGAGGAGAGAAGGGAGAATTTACTAGAGAAGTTACAAAGGCAGAAACAACAGAACTTGGCAACAGATTAGATATCGGGGTGAGAGAGTTTTAAATCCAGGATGACCATGGTTTTGTGAGACTGGGTGTCTGGGAGGATAGTAGAGCCCCAACAGTTATGAGGGAATTCGGTCTTGGACAAGTTGAGTTTGAGATGTCTATGAAACATATAGCTCACGATGTCCAAAATGCATTGGAGATGCTGCCAGAAGGGAAGTGGGAGATATTAGGAGGGTCATTGATTCTTTTTATTTTGTTTTTTTGTTATACTTTAAGTCTTGAACTGTTTCCCTCCCTTCCCACCTCATCCTAGAGAAGGCCGCCATTTCACACACACACACACACACACACACACACACACACACACACGTGTATGTAGGTATATGTAAAACCATACTATGCATACTTCTATTTATCAGTTCTTTTTCTCGCAATGGATAGCATCTTCCTTCATATGTCCTTTGTACTTGACTTGAGTATTTATAATACTCAGAATAACTCAGTTGTTCACAGTTATTCTTCAAACAATATTACTGTTGCCATATACAACATTCTCTTGATTCTGCTCATTTCACTCTGCATTATTTCATGCCAGTCTTTCCTGGTTTTTCTAAAATCAACTAGCTCATCTTTTCTTATAGCACAGTAGTATTCTATCACAAGCATAATCCACAACTTGTTCAGCCATTCCCCAATGGATGGGCATCCCCTCAGTTTCCAGTTTTTGCCACTACAAAGAGAGACACTAGAAATATTTTAGAATATATTGTTTTCCTTTTTTCCTGATCACCTTGAGAAACAAACCTAATAGTGGTATTGATGGGCCAAAGGGTGTATGCAGTTTTACTACTCCTTGGGCATAATTCCAGATTGCTCTCCAAAATGGCTGGATCAGTTCACAGTTCACCAACAATGAATAAAGGTCCCAATTTTCCCACATCCTATCTGACATTTGTCATTTCCCCCCCCTATCATTTTAGCCAATCTGATAGGTATGAGGGGGTCATTGATTCTACAGTAGTCTCAGAGAGGATACAAGGAAAAGTCAGCCCTTTCCCCATTTCCCCAATACCTGTGTATTCACAGACATTATAATATAATCTGCTATTTTATTACCCAAATGTTTTCCAGTAAACTGAGTTTTGCCTCAGCCTGTGCTTAAGTAGAGATAGATATAAATGTAAGGTTAGGCAGAGAATCCCATTTCTGCCAACATGGCAGGAATTTTCCTCACTGAGGGCTTGGGGTGATTGTAATTGAACACAGAACTTGTCATCTAAAATAAAATGTGAAATTCCTAGGGTTGAAGAGGAGAGAACCAAGTGGACCCAAAAGGGATGTTTTGTGGTCCCCCAGGCTTAAAGTGAGCTCATCATTTGCAACCTCTGTTGGGTTCTCAGCCTAACCTTTCATTTATATCTATCTCTAGTTAACACCTCATCTCTTTGTGACTGAGGCAAACATTTAGGTAACAGAACAGCAAACTGTATTATGGTGTCTGGGAATTAACAGGCATTAGGGAGGGAAATTGGAGAAAGCTGATCTTTTCTTGAGATTTCCCTCCATTTGAGTCATTCCCTGAGATGTCTGTAGAACTAAAGATTTTCCTCAAAGGTTGCTTTGCTGTTGTCTTGTTTGGTTTGAAACAGTCCAGACATTCCCTGATCCCTGTGTGTTCCACTCTCAGGAGTCCAGATACTTAGAATTTCCTCTCCACCTGACTTCCTTCCCTCTGAGATAGCTTCTCCTTCTTACACAAATTGCTTAGGGTATGATCCAGTCTCTCACAAAGTGGCTTTGATTGATTCTGGGAGGTATGCAGGCCCTGTTCACACTCAGTTGCTCTTGGGTAAGTCAATCATAAGGTGTTCTTTCCTAGTTCAGTCACCAGGGCTAAGCAGGGTGGTTTTAACCCCACTCTTACACCAGGTCATCTGGCTGCTAAGCCTGAAGCTTCCCTTGAAGGAAGCGGCCTCCTCTTGAATTGAATTGAATTGAGTGGTATCTGCTTCTTGAGAATATATATAGGTTGGTCACATCACATCATAAGCTACTACAAATTCAATAATACTTTTAAATGAACTGATATTTTATTGGCTAACGTACATTTGAAAAAGAAAATTCCAATATCTGTGTAGGAGACAGTATTTATTTAGCCCCTACAAGGTGTGTCTGTTTATCTGACTGACAAGCTGAGATGGTAGGGCCTGTTTTACAGCTTCCAATATCTCAAGTCTGGCTGAACAAGGAAGTTTTGTTATGGCCCTGGGGTCACGAGTCAGACACAATTAATCGACCAACATTCAGGAAGACACTCAGGTTAAGGGATACTGAGAAAGACATCTTGTAGGAGATGGGTCTTTAGCTGAGACTTGAAGAAAGCCAAGGAAGCCAGGAGGTGAAGAGACAGTCATTTCAGTTGTACCTGACTCTCTGTGACCCCATTTGGAATTTTTCTTGGCAGAGATACTGAAGTAGTTTACTATTTCCTTCTCTAGCTCATTTGACAGATGAGGAAAGTGAGGCAAACAGAGTTAAGTTACTTGCCCAGGGTCACACAGCTGGTAAGTGTCTGAGGCCAACTCTGAACTCAGGAAGAGGAGTCCTCGTGGTTTCATGCCTGGTGCTCTATCCACTTTACTACCTAGGTACCTTGTGAAGGAATAGTCAATCATATTGACTAGTAGGATGACTTCAGAAAAACCTGGAAAAATTTACATGAATTATTGCAAAGTGAAGTGCGCAGAACTAGGAGAACACTGTACACAGTAACAGTAATATTGTACAATGATCAGCTGTGAAAGACTTAGCTATTCTCGGCAATACAATGACCTAATTGAATTCCAAAGGACTCATGATGAAAAATACAATCCCCCTCCAGAGAAACCTGAATGCAGGTCAAAGCGTATTATGTTTCATTTACTTTTTTTTTCTGTGTTGAGTGCATGGGGGAAGGTCTGTGTTTTGTTTCACATGACTAATATGGAAATACGTTTTGCATGGCTGCACACGTATAACTTATGAATGGGATGTCCCAGTGAAGACTCCTCATTGTAATTAAGGTTTGGGATAAGGCTGAGTGGGATGAGGGGTCCTGAGAAAACTTCTTAGAAGAATAAACAAATTGTATTAGACTCAAGGCAGGCATAGCAGCCTGACAGACCTGTTTCGATTTACTAGAAATCACCTGATTTACGGGGAATTCAACCCCAAGTACCCCCCCATGCCATTGTTCAGTAGTTAAAGTTTGCCAAGCCTGAAACTCCTGAAGAAGCCCCCCCCACCCCATCTTGTTGTACCTGAGTGGAATAGAGACCACTTACCCAAATAAAAACTCAGAGGTATCTCCAGGTAGAAAACAGAAGGTTTTATTCTAGCAAGTCTCAGGAGAAAGTTGGGTGTCTCCTACCCACAGCTGACTGGTTTACAGAGGCAAAGCACAAACACCAGCAAGCAGTATATACAGTCTTAAACAACCACTCCAAAAAACCCCCCTCCCCACCTGTTTGTCTCAATCTCTTTATCCTCATTGGCTGAGGCAGAAGACCTCACAGTCTAATTTAGACCCCAAGAGATACATTTTACTCAAAACTAGCTTGGGAGCTAGAGGATTGCCTTATTTGGTAAAGTTAAGGCACAAAACAACAGAGCGGGTGGTTACAAAACCAGGGAGGGGGTGGGCAGTTGGTTCACAACCCCCTCCCCAGAAACAAAAGTGAAACTTAGGCCCAGCTGGTGCTGAAGCTTTACTACATTTACGGAGCCTAGCTTGCATCTTATGTGAGAAACTTCCACATGTCCCATACATACCTGTTGCTACATTTCGGTCATGGTAACCTGGCTGTACAGTTGTGTCTAGCTTGACTGCACATCTTTAATTGCTTCTTTGGCATTACTTCAGCAAACTAAGGGGCTAAATATAGATCTCTTTGTTTTATTTTCTGTTTCCATAGATTGCGAGCCAAACATTGGCCAGTTGCTGGGAGGGGGGAATTTGCCCATTAGGGCTACTTAATTTGGTTCTTAGCTCCTGTACTCTGTCTCCCTTCATCAGAACATTCTGGTGGAGGGACACCCTATTCTCGAGCATAGCCAATTAATTAACTTCCTGTTTCTCCTTGAAAAACCTCTAAGCGTGTTTTTTTCATTTGAGTGGCATCCCACACACCTAGATCAAATTACTTAACATCTCAGGGAACCGGGAGGGCAAGGCATGAGGGAGAGAATTTGGAACTCAAAATTCAAAAGAACTAGTTGTTTTTACATGTAACTGAAAAAAAAATTCAAGAAAAAAAAGCCCAAATACTGAGAAATACTATGATATGGCAGATAATTTAATTAAATTTATCACGTTAACTGTGTCTAATATGGGCAGAGTCCTTGCCTTCAAAGGGCTTACAGTCTAACGATGGAACCAGGCAGAGCCGGAAATCATTCTCTTTGGAGGAGGGTAAAGGGAGCCCCAGACAAGATGCAACGAGGGCTCCGGCCCCAGCTTTTTCTCCAGAGACCCACGTATTTCGATGTGGAAGGCCAAGGTTCCCATTCTGCAGGCGAAGAACTGAGACGTGGAGAAGAAAGGCTATGCCACTAATGGGTGGCAGAGGCAGGACGTAAACCGAGGCTCTCCGCGCAACGGCTATGGACAGGGCGGGAGCGATACAGGAAGCGGCTGTCACGGAATTGGAGGACACACGTGGTTTAGGGAGTCACGTGGAGGCCTGCAGAGGTTGTGCTTTGAACCTAGCGCAATGGAGAGCCAGTGCAGGAGTGGGAGCAGGAAGGGAAGTGCTCAGACTCATGACTTGGTAAAATCACTGTGTGGAGAAACCGGAAGCACATTCCCTTGGAGGTCCCGTCCAGCTCTAAATGGACGAGCGACGCCTCCGGCCGCGCCCCAGCCCAAGCCGCCACTCCTCTTCCCTCCCCTCCTCCACTTGCAGCCCCGCCTCCGCGGCACACGCAGAGCGCTTTTAAAGCCCTCTCTGGCTCCGCCCCGCGTCGTCGTGCGTGTTCGTGCGTGCGCGTGACGTAAGCATCTCCCTTGAGCCCTGGCTCCGCTGCGTCAGGGGCTCGCCCCCGAAGCTGCCCAGCCCGGTAAGAGAGGTGAGAGCGGCAAGTTCTCTCCCGGGTGGCATCAGGGGGCCCATGGGGGGCGGTGCGGTGAGGAGGGGAAGGGGTGGAGGAGGCTGGCCTAAGAAAGACCTCCCTGCGCTTGGCTTGTGGTAGGAGAGGGACCACAAGGACCAGGATGCACTTGGTGCCGAGTGGCGCATGTGCGGAAGTGACGCTAAGGGCGCCCGCGGCCTCCAACCGCTGGCCTTAGAGTCAGGGGAGGGCGGAGCTAGGCGGGAGCCAGGAAGGTCAGCTGACCCAGGAAGCCCCTCCCCGGGTCATGCTAGCCATCCCCCTGCTACCAGGCGGGGCTGGGAACATCTTTGATTGCCAGGGCCGTAGGATTATGTTTGTAGAGCTGGAAGGGGCCTCACCTGTCATTTTACAGATAAAGAAACTGAGGCCCAGCGAGATGAAGGGGCGCACGTGGGTGGAAACTGGCAGAACTTGAATTCGAACCCAGGACCTCGGATTCCAAAGTTAGAGCCTGTACTTCTCTACTGTTGTTTTGGAGGGAGGAAGAGCCCCTCCCCCCAAAAAAAAGGCAGCCCATCCCACTTGGGCCCCGAAATTCTCCCTGACATCAAGCCGGGTAATCAATAATAATAAAAATAGAAGAGAGCACTTATGTAGCGCTCTAAGGTTTGCAAAGCGCTTTACAAAAATTATCTCATTTTATCTTCGGTGCTGTTACCACCCCATTTTACAGATGGGGAATCTGAGGCAGAGAGGGGTAGGTGATCTGCCCAGGGTCACACAGCTGGTAGGATTTGAATCTAGAACTTGACTGTATGTTCTGAGTCACCTAGCTGCCTCTAGGTGAGAGCATCACCAGACTGACCCTGGGCCCCTTCCTTGTCTTGATGTAGACAAAGGGGCCTTAACCTCCTTGGCCACCATGCCCCACTTTTGAGTCATGTTGAGACCCCATGATCTTTTGCAGGCAAGCTGCTGCCTGGCCATGTCAGATAGATTTTTTTTTTTAACCTTAGTGCAAGATTGTATATTTATCCCTGTTCCGCTTCATTTTTCCAGATTTTGATCTGTTGGGATCTTTTTAGATCTTGACACCCTCCCCCTTTCCCCAAGTGCATCCCTTTCCCCCCCTTTGTGTTATCTGCAGATTTGATAAACAGATTCTCTACTTTATCCAAGTCACTGATAAAAATATTAAGGAAAGGTCCCTTAAGCACCGAAGATCTTCCAAATTCATTGTTGACCAGTCTCCAGTCTCATTCTCTGGACCGTAGTCCTCTGACCATGGGCGTTTCTTGGAAAAGATACTGGAGTGGCATGCCATTTCTTCCTCCAGTGGATTAAGACAGAGGTTTAGTGACTTGCCCAGGGTCACACAGCTGGTATGTCCCAGGCAGGATTTGAACTCAGGCCTTCCTGACTTTAGGCCTGGTGCTCTATCCACAGAGCCACCTAAGTGCCTACCCAAGTTGAAAAGGAATCATTAATGACTACTTTTTGGATTTCATCATTTGACTAGTTCTGAATACACCAGAGAGTCCTCTAATCTAGCTCTTCTTCATAAGAGTTTCATGAAGAGCTTGACCCTGGGCCAGAGATGGAAAAAATGTCCTTTTCTCCTTTGTCTGAAGCTGGGAGGGACTTCCTGGAGTGTTGCTTAGGGGGCTTATATTATCTAATGTGATTAATGTGGTTTGGTTTTGAGGTTTAGTAGATGGGGTGGGGTAGGTACATTTGGAAATGAATGGTATATGTATTCTGTTCCCTCTATGCTAGGACCTGCCTCTTTCTTTTTAGGCTTATCTCATCTTATGGGGAGCCTTTCTTGATTCTGCCTTCCCCTCCTTTCCTTCTCCCTTATTTTTGTAAATTTGAATCAGATTCCTACATACGAGACATTTAGCAGAGAAATTTACCATAAAGATTTTTTCCCCATTTACCTGTCTGTCTTCTAATTTTGGCTAAGGTGATTTTGTTTGTGCAAAACCTTTAAAAAAATTTTTTTGGCTACGCAGTGGGGTTAAATGACTTGCCCAGGGTCACACAGCTAGTTAAATGTCAAGTGTCTGAGGGCAGATTTGAACTCAGGTCCTCCTCCTGACTCCAGGGTCAGTGCTCTATCCACTGCACCACCCAGCTGCCCCCAACCTTTTTAATTTTATATAATCACAGTCATCCATTTTACTTCTTGTGTAATTCCAGGATTCTTTACCTGAGGTTCACAGACCTGGGGGTTCAGTGGACTTGGAGAGGGAAAAAAATTACATCTTTATTTTCACTAACCTTTGGTTTCCTTTGTAATGCCATATTTTATCCATTTAAACAATATTCTGAGGAGTCCAAAGGGCTCCATGATTAAGAACCCTTCATCTTGTTGACCTCTCTCTTTTATTTTTTTGACACCACAGCATTAAAAAGTTTTTATTAATTTATTTTGATTTATCAGCAATCACTTCCATATGCTTTTGAGTTTAAAATTTTTCTCCCCCTTCCTCCCCAAGATAGTACACAATCTGATGTAGGCTATACATTTACATTCCTATTAAACAGATTTTCACATTAGTGATGTTGTAAGTAAAAATTAGAACCAATAGGAGGAACCACCAGAAAGAGGAAACAAAACTCAACAGGGGGAAAAAATAGCAAGACATCACAGCATTCTTGATAGGCTCACTCACCCCTCTCCGTTCTCCCTCCCTCGCCTCAAAATTGAACTCTTCCTTGCTAACAAACAAAACGGTTAAACAAAAACAGCCAGTGTAGTTACTGTGCCCCAGAATCAAGCCCTCATTGCAACAACAACAAAAAAACACAACAGTGTAGCCAAAGTAAGTGGGTGACCTTGTCTCAGGACACTGGCCACCCTCCTCATCCCTTGTCTTTCTGTGTAAGAAAAGAACTGGTTTTTCAGGGGTTCCCGGGCTGGCTTGTAGTCCCCTTTTTAATGTACATCCCGGCTCTCTTGTTTCTCTGACGAGGGAGTTGAGCCCCAGAGAGACGGCATCATGCCGTATGCTAGAGCCCCATCCAGAGCACTTTCTCCTCTGTGTCCTGGCTGGGGGTCGAGGAGTCAGCCCACAGCCAGGGAACGGGTCTTCTTTCCACTTCTTCTGTATGTAGCCTGACAGGGCTTTAACAGGAAATACGGCCTACTGTGGCCCCAGATTCTAGCTTCTGTCTTCTCCGCCTGCTCACTGTGAGCTGCATGGGCAGAGGGCAGAGCTTGTGTCAACTCTGGCTATCCCCAGGCTCTGCACACAGTTCGTAAGATCGTAGATGCAGAGTGGAAGGGATCTCGGAGGCCATTTCTTTTTTTTTTTTTTTTTTGGCTAGGAAATGGGGTTAAGTGACTTGCCCAGGGTCACAGAGCTAGTGTGTGTTATGGGTCTGAGGCCGGATTTGAACCCGGGCTCTCCTGAATCCAGGGCCGGTGCTCTATCCACTGCGCCACCTAGCTGCCTCTCGGAGGAGATTCCTTCTAGCCCCCTGTGGAAGTGGAGGCCCAGTAGTCAGGTAGTAAGCACCCATGGTGGGATGTAAACCCAGGGCTGCTGACCTCTGCTGAGCCATGCTGTACTTAAGAGGGGCTTACTGAGTATTGGACGGCATGCATGAACAGTCCCAAATTAGGATTTCACCCTGGATCTTGTCATGTTTTGGGGTTGCTTCTTTTGTGTAGTTTGGAGTCCCATAAAAACTGGGCTCTAACCACTTAGCTTAGTAGCCCACGTCCTTTGATTGTGTTTATCGAAATTCTGCACCACGGTCAGTTTAGACAAGGATCGTTCCATCGGCCCGGGCAACGGAAGGCTCTGTTTTAGTAAATATAAGGTCAGCATCAGCTTTGACCACATGCTTCTTCCACAGTCTTGCTGCTACCCTCCTCTTCTCCCCACACTGTCCTGGGTTCCCCTTTTAGGACGAAGCTTCCCGACACCATGGTCCATGCATTCCTGATCCATACGCTGAGTACCCAGGCCACTGGGGATGCTGCCTTCTGCCGGGTGCTGTACTCTCGAGTATTTGGGTCAGAGAGGTCACCAGATGACCCCAGGCCCCGCGGTCCAGAGAGGGACAGGCTGCTCAGGAAGGAGCAGCTGTTGGCCGTGGCAAGGTAAATGGGGCCTCCCTGCAGGTCCACTGCATATTTCTGGGTTCTCCTCCTCCCCATTTGCATCAAAAAAACCACTTGGTATTGTAAGAGGAACACCTCATATTGACATATCCCTCCGAGGTTTGCCTGTACACCACTTTCCTCCCAGTGACCCTGGCAGGTGGGGAGTGCAAGAATCATTGTGCCCATTTTATAGATCCAGAAACGGGGGCTCAGAACGGTGAGGTAACTAGCTGGCATCCACACCCAATTCTGCTGATTGCAACTTCTGGGTTCTTTCCACTCAACAATTCTATTGTTTAGGATAGCAAGGAAGGTAGCCCCGCCTCAAGAAAAACTAGAAGAAGCTTTCCAGAGTCAGACAAATTCTTGGGGATTATCCACTGACAGTGTGCTGTTTATTTTTGGTCTGGACCAATTTGGCAGGGGCCAACTGTACTTAAACCCAGCTGGATCTTAAAGAGAACGACGGGTGGAAAGCAACCCTTGTGGGATGAATGGACCTTTTGTGGAGGCAGGAATGCCTCGTCCTACCCTGCCCTGCCTGGCCCCCTCCGTCCTTTCATCAGGGCTTGGCCACCCAGCCCACAGCCCCAAACTGTGAGGGCCCCAGAGCTTGGGGTGATATCTTATGCTCTCCTGGCATAGCAGCCCCTGAAAGCACCTGGAGCCAGACAGCCTGGCTTCTTCCGGGCTGGGCTGACGGCTCCCCCTGCTGGCCTCTCAGAGTCGGGCATGTAGGTGTTAGAAAGGCTGCCTCACTTGGGACGCCAGGACAACACACTCACGTGCCCTGTGTTTGGCGAGCCCTTGGAGTACATAGGGGTAATTCTTCCCATTTGACAGATGGAGAAACTGAGATTTAGGTGATCCAAGGGGCTGTCTCCCAGGTGGGGGCTGTTGGCACCACCCTCGGGCACACATTCAGACCACGGTGAGAGGGGGTGCGGTTTTACTCCTTGGTCAGAGGATGCCTCCTGGAAGTGGGTGGCCGTGAAAGAAAGCAGCAGGGTGTCTGCCCTTCTCTGTTCAGAAGCCATCCCCAGGTTTTCATTCTCTTCGGTCCCCCTCCCGTGGGTCTGAATTCTGTTCCTCCCTTAGACAGGCAGAGTCAGCATGTAAGCTGCTGCAGCAGGCATCTGGCCGACCTCCCATGGATCTGCTCCCCCAGTCCTCTGATGAGCCCGTCGCCCTGCACGATGCCCCCACGGGGGTCTTCCGCCTTCGGCCTGGGGACCCATTCCAGGAGGCCAAGGTCGCCGTGTGGCTTGGGGTCCTGTCCCTGGGCTGTGTCTTGGTTTGCGAACCCCATGAAAATCTGCTGCTAGCTGAGAGCACCCTGCGTCTGCTCGCCCGCCTCCTCCTGGATCACCTGAAGCTGCTTTCCTCGGGCAGCGACATCCTCCTCAGAGCGGACCGCATTGAGATCATCCTCAACCACTTCCTTCCGCAGGGCCAACTGCTCTTTCTCAATGACCACTTTGTTCAGGGATTGGAGAAAGAATTGAGTGCTAGCTTGTCCAGGTGAGGGCCTCCCGTGAGCCAAGCAGGCCAGGCCTGGGGCCGAGAGGGGGCCCTGCTGAGGCAGGCCGTTCCACTCGGTTTGGGGTACGGAGGGTGACATTGCAAGGATTGACCGCCGGGTCTGGTTTGTCAGAAGAAGCGGTGGGACTGAGAACCCACAGCTCTCTGTTGCCCTTCACTCTGCTTCCTGAGGAAAGCTCTCCTCTCCGGCCCCATGTAGGTCTTGGCTGGCTCATTCCCCCTCAGGTTGTTCCACTCTGGGCTCGGGTTTGATTGGAGAGACCGAAGCCACCAAATGGTTCCTTTACTGTCTCCTGGATACAAATGCAGACACTGTCACAAGATGACCAGCCGTGCAGCATCAGTGATGCCTTTTAGGCCCCTCTCCTGTGCAAGTCATCATGGGTAATAGTATGTTTCAGTCTTCTGTCCACTGGCATAGCTTTACCTTGCTTTGAGTCAGCCTTCACTGTGGTTTTTATGGCAATACAAGGTTCTGGGATTTCAAGCTAAGAGAATACTGGTCTGAAGAAGGTAACTGGGTCATGCATCCTGTATTGTACCTCCCAGAAATACTTTTAGGGTGGGATCACCCAATAATTTTCTAAATTACACCTGTAGAAGAGGTCCATTGGGACGAATTCCCAGGGGTGACTTCTCCTATCGCTTTCAGGCCGTAGCATGGGCTGACTGTAAGGTCTGGCCAGTGGTAGAAGGGAGATAATAGTTTTGGAGACCATAGTTTTTACCACTTGAGTTTGTCTAACCTTGTATTTTGTTTATACTTACTTGTGTACATGTTGTATTCTCTGATAAAATGTAAGCTCCCAGAGGACAGGGAATGATTTCATTTTTGTTCTGCACGTCCAGTGCTTAGCTTAGTGCCTGGCGTGGAGTGGTGCTTAATAAAAGTTTGTGGATTGATTGGCCCTCTGTGTAGGATCCTAGGACCTGAGATATCATTGAGTCCAAGCGTTCTTAGCCTGGGCTCTGTGAACTTCTGTGACTGGGTTTTAGTATAATTGATTCCAGAACATCATTCTGAGAAAGGGTCCACAGGCTGCACCAGACTGACTGGCCCAGGGTTGGGAACACAGAAAAGGGGAAGAAGCCCCTTCAGTCTGTGCCTTTATTTCACCCATGAGGAGACTGATGCTTACAAAGATGGACCGACTTGCGTAGATTCAGACTTGGCACTTAGCAAAGATGGAATTCAAGATGAGCTGCTGTGGCCCTCAGTGCCACGTTCCTTCTGACCCTCGCACAGCCTCCTTTGTAAGCCAGCGGCTTGTACTGTCTAGTAGTGATCACAAGCCAGGTTTGGTGTTTGCCTTATTGCACTCTTGGAGGGAAGGAGGGAGCAATTTTAGCTTCCATAACTGCCGAGTTGGCAGGGGTGTGATGTTAGGTGTAGGCCGGGCAGCTTTCCCCAGAGGGCCGGCCTTTAGACCAAGGTAAGAAGGACTAAAGACAGGAGAATAAAGGTCCCTCCCTGTGGTGGAACAGGAAAGGGTCACTGCCAAGGACCTGGGTTGATTGTTTTACACCTGCTGACCTGTGGTGGATATAGACTCCATAGTCCATAGGCCACAGGGACAGCCTTGGGTGCCTGGAACTTTCCCGGTAGTGGGATGTAGTCAAACTTAAAGGCCTGTGATTTCATCTGTGGGAGTGTATCCTTCACCCCCCAGATCCCAGCTCTCTAGACACTTAGTATAAGGTTTTGAGGGGCAGTGGCCAGAGCATGTGTCTGTGTGTAGCCAGTCCGATGAGGAGTGACGCCAAATTTAGCCCGGCTGGTCTTCAGCCAGCAGAGACAGTCCAGAGCTGAGCTCCTGGGTGGTGGCTTTGCAGCCTGTCAGGATCTACCAGTGTTTGGCCTCCCCTGGCCAGTCTGCCCTTCTAGGACACATGGTCCACTTCAATCCACCTTGGGCCAAGAGGAGACTGTGTAGAGTCGGCCAGGGGCCCAAGAAGTCCTTATGATTGAATGAGCCACAATGTTTGTTCAGCAGTTTGTCCCAAACTGCTCAGATGCGGCTGGATTTGGAGTTTGAAGTCAGGCTGGGCCACCTGGGACTTGGCATCTTTAGGTGATTAATAAGTGCTTTTTGATTGTGCCAGTTTTCATGCCAGGCACCAGGGCTCTAAGGAGGAAAGACCCATGCATCAATAAGCCCGTAAAGCAGGAGGGCCCTTACTAGCAAGAAGCCCAGAGGAGCCAGTAAAGCCTCTGGCAGGTGTGAATGAATTTATTTAGCAAGCACTGACTGTGTTGGAGGCCCTTGGTGTGTGAGTAGCTGAGCTATGAATGCAGAAACAAAGCAGTGTCTAGGAACAGTGGCAGAACTGATTTGATGGTAGTTTGTGGCTCTGGAACTGCAGAGGATTGGGGAAGCAAGAACATATTCATGGTGAGAGGAGGAAGTGAGGTGTAGCCAGGCTGGGACTTTTCCTGAAATGCTGTTCTGAGCTCTGAAGGGGGCTGGGATCCTGAGAGGTGGAGGTGTGGAAGAGAGTGTATTCCAGGCATGAGGGGCGGCTTGAACAAAGGTCCGGAGAGGGGAGCTGGATTTTGTGTGTGACTAAGAAGAGGGTGGGCAGGGGAGCCAAGTGTCAGGAGCCTTGTCACCCCTTGGTGTCCATCCCAGAGGCCTCTCCTCTCTCTTCCTCACTTGATGTCCTCGGCTCCCCAGATTGAACTCTCACTTCTGTCAGTGACCCCCAGGTCTGTATGCACATGCCCTGCATTGCCTCTTCTTGTGGACTTCTCCAGGTGCATGGCTGGCCTCTAGGTCTCTCCAATACAAAATGTCCAAAACAGCTCATTATTAAATCTCGTTATTGACCACCCCAAACCCTGTCTCTTCCTAACTTATCCATCTCTTGGGGTGGATGGAGCACTGGGTGAGGATTCAGAAAGGCCTGAGTTTGAATCCTGGCTCAAACACTTTGCTGTGTGACCTTGGGCAAGTCATTTCACCCCCCCCACGGAGTTTCCTCATCTGTACCTCTACATCCAACAGTTGTCACATCTTTTGCATGTTTCTTTCTCTCCACTCCACCCCCCACCTCCCTAACTTAGTTCCTCATTACTCTTGTCTAAACTTTTGCAGTAGCCTCCTAATTGATCTTCCTGCCTCCAGCCTCCACACTCCTTTGACAGTGGTGTTCCTGAGGCATAGGCCCGACTGTGTCATTGCTCTACTGAATGAACTCAAGTGGCTCTTTAGTCTTAATCGAGAGTAAAAAAATGAATTTCTTGTTTGTGTTTTAAAGCCCTTCACCCCTCGGCTTCCATTTAACTGTCCAGATCGATTGAACGTGATTCTAGAGGCATTCTGCGTTTCTCCCAGAATGTCTCCTATGTGACATTGCATCCGCTTGCTTTTGGACTGGCTTTCCGTCCTTCAAGCCCGGCATGTCCTCTGCCCTCTCCTCTACCTTGTAGAGTGCCTGGCTTCCTTCAGAGCCTCAGTTCATGTGAGACCTTCTACAGGAAGCCGCTCTGGGCCCTCCCAGATGCAAGGGCCCTTCCCCAGAAAACTGTGCTGTGCATTTCATTTTCTTTCTATATGTTCTTTCCTCCCAAAGCTGTACCTTCCTCAGAGGCAGATAGGCTGCCCCTGAGTGCCTGGCACAGAATTCAATGAGGTCGAATGAGATCCCATGTAAAGTGCTTTGCACACTGCTGGATGAAATGCTGTCTAACATCATTACTGATTCGTCTCTTCTTGGTCAGTGAGTGAGCGGAGCCAGATTGTGAAGGGCTTGCGATGCCAAACGGGAGTGGGGATTTGGGTCTCACAGTCATGGAGAGCCACTGGTGTCGGAGCAGAGGAGGGATGAGCTTGCACCTGGGCTTGAGGAGTATAGTTTGTCCTCTGGGTGGAGCAAGGAGCCCAGTGAGGACATTGTGACCGTGAGCCAAGGAAAAGGGGACCGGGGCCTAACCTAGATAGTTTCCCCATCACTTTTCCTCTCTGGGTTCCACTTTCCTCTTCTGGAAAGTAAGGAAATTGGACTAGGTAGGTAACCGGAGGCTCCATCAGCTCCAGATCTGGGATCTTCAGCCACGTCCTCAGCATGGAGCCCGACGTCAGGCCTCTCTCCTCACTTCTCCAGCTGGATACCACCATGCCACATTCTTCACCACATCAAGTAGTCTAATGGAGTGTGAAAAGACCGTGACTTAAAGTTGAGGATTGGGTTTGAATAACAGGTCAGCCACCTGGAGTCAGGAAGACTCATGTCCCTGAGTTCAAATCTGGCCTCAGACACTAGCTGTGTGACCCTGGGCAAGTCACTTCACCCCGTTTGCCTCAGTTTCCTCATCTGTAAAATGAGCTGGAGAAGGAAATGGCAAACCACTCTGGTATCTCTGCCAAGAAAACTCCAAAATAGGGTCACAGAGGGTCGGACATCACTGAAACAGCTCAGCCTCAACCACGTGTTGATGTCTGTGATCAGTAAGAAGGGCAGGGCTCTCTACCATTCTTTGATCCTCTTGGATTATTGAGATCTGGTTGTCAGTGTGGTCCTTGGGCCCACTGGATCCTCCGAGGTTATGATCTTTTTCATAATACTGACAGTGAGGCTGGATTCTCTTATACTTCAGGCAGAGCAGCCCAAATGATGCAGAGCCAGACGCTAAAGAGATCTGCAGCAGTCGGTAAAACTATACCACTTCTTGCTACATCGTCCTTGTTTTAGGAAATAGTTATTTTTCATAAGTGTCATTGATACTGATCTGCAGTGGACTTACTGTTATTTGTAAATGAACTTTTAAAAAATGTACCTGTTTTTTTCCTTCCTAATGTGGTAAATATCAATAGCTATAACCCATCTTAACAAAAACTCTTTGGGGTCCTCAACAATCTTTAAGAGTGTAAATATGTCCCAAGACCACAAAGTTTGAGAGCTGATCTAAATCCAAGGCCACTTCTCAGGGAAGAAGGGGAAAAAGAAATAAGCATTTATACATCACCTATGCCAGATATGGAGCTAAGCACTTTTAGAAATAGTATCTCCTTTGGTCCTCACAATAACCTTGGAAAGTAGGTGCTCTTATTACTCCCATTTTACAGTTAAGGAAACTGAGGCAGAGGTCCAGTGACTTACCTAGGGGTCACCCAGTACTAAGTGTCTGAGGACTGATTTGACCGTGGGTCTTCCAGACTCCGGGTTCAGCACTGTGCCCTCTGGGGCCACCTAGCTGCTTGAGGACAGGTCTACCTTCGTGACTGACCTTGGACCCTTACTCTGAATTTTCCTATGCATGTATATTTAGAACACACACTTGAGCAAGACCATTCATTCATTCATTCATTCCACATTTAATGAAGCACCTGGCAGTGCTCCAGGCTCAGAATACAACAGTCCCTGCCTTCCAGGAGCTCACCTTCTGGGGGTGGGGGGCTGCAAAATCTACACAATTCAGTAGTGGAACTGTAAGACTGCGGACGTCCCCTGGGAAGTTCTGGGCCCTTGTCATTGCCTGGCATCTCCCCAGACCAGGCTTCTGTTCCTGCCCTAGGGCTGGGCACAGCTAGCACTGAAAATGAGATTTACCCACTTGGACTTCCTGCCTCCCCAGAGGTTGTTAGAGAGTAACCCTAAGACAGTAAAACACAGGGACGATCCCTAAAGTGTGTTTCCTCTCCCCCGCATCTTGTCGTGCTCTGTGTCCCAAGGACTCCCCCCACGCCATGTTCTGTGTCCCAAGGACTCCCCCACGCCATGTTCTGTGTCCCAAGGACTCTCCCTCACATGTTATGTGTCCCAAGACTCCCCCCCCCACATGTTCTGTGTCCAGACCCCACCTCCAAGTCTGACAAAGCCCCCCCCACCCCCGCCCCGCTCCTCCTGCAGGGCTTCCCCTCCCCCCCGCCCGTGTTTGGGGTAACTTGTTGCCCGGAGCCGCGCCGGGTGGCGCCTGGCAGGGTCTGTTCGTTCCTTTTCCTGATTTTTGTTAAATTATTGTGGTCCTTCCCCTCGCCTGCTCGCCCCTCCCGCCCCTCCCGCGCCTCCTCCCCCGCCTCCCTCCGCTCCAGGCCCCGCCCCCTGGCCCGGCCGGCCAATGGGCGGATGCCGCGAGGGCGGGCGCGATCCTGGGCCTGGCCTTGCTCCCGCCCGCCGCCCCGTCCTCCTCCTCCTGCGGGCGCCTGCGCCTCTTCCCGGGCGCGTCGGAGGCTTGGGCGGTTGCGCCATCGCCGGCCTTTGCAGGGCCCGGCCTGATCGAGGCTGTGCCCGCAGGTAACCTGGGCGGCGTCTCGGGACCTCCGCCCCCGCCGGGCCTCCCTGGAGGTCAAGGGCACGGGCGCAGCCGCGGGAGGGGGGAGGGCGGGGGCGCAGACCCCTCCCCACGTTGGGGGGCGCTCTTACTCCCCGCGCCCTCGGTATAGACTGGGGCGGCCCGTCTGACCTTGACCGAGGTCCTTGGGTGGGGGAGGGGGAGCCTCGGGGTGCAGCAGGTGGGACGGAGGAGGAAACTGAGGCGTGGGGGGGGGCGGCCAATCTGGTGCTCGAGGCTGGCACCTAGGCCTGGAAGGAGACCTCCCCGACCGTTCTCCTTTCCGATTTCCCCTCCCTCTCGTGGCCGTGGGGGGCCGGCCTGTGCAGGCTGTGTCCGGAGCAGCTGACGCCCCGGCCGGGCACCTGCCCCAGTGGCCTCGGGTCGGGTGTCCGCCTGAGCCGTGTGTGTGCCTCCGCAGCCCGGGGCCGTGACGCTGGCCCAGACCCCGGGGGCCGCCCTGCCCAGGCTTCGGGCGCCTGTCCCCGGGCAGCCCTTCCAGACGCGGTCAGGCTTTACAGAGAAGGACAGTGAGGCTCAGACCTCCCGGTCCGCCGTCCCACTTGAACCGCGGATCTCTTGGAAGAAGGCTCCAGGTCCAGTGACCTTTCCCCCACATCACCCTCCCCCCTCACGGACAGCATGCGCCACCCCCTCCTGGGCCAGGAGGGTCAGGCAGGGCAACAGACGTTGGCTGCCCCAGGAGACCTTGCAAAGGGCTGTCCAGGCAGCTGCTTCTGCTCTTGGGTCAGAAAACGAGGCGAGGCCCTCCAAGACTGTCAGATGCAGAGCAGTCTTTCCATTTCCCCAGAAAAGTGCACCCCATGATCTGATAACTGTGCTGTTCAAAACACTGAATATTATAAGAAACTTTCTGTTCTTGGGGCCCTCCCACCTCTGGCAACGTGATGTGCTCCAAGGTTGCTCTGCTATGATATTGCATGATTCTCTGTGCTTTCTGCAGCCCCCAAAATATGCCCTTCTTCTCTCTGTTTCCTTAGGTGGCAGTGCTCTCTGCTGTGGCCAATCTGCTGTGCCCTGCTGTGCCAAGGTAACTAGTACCTTCTGGAAACAAGACCTTACCGAAATCCAGAGGAGCGAAGCTCTCATGGTGAAATTGTAAGCACTGCGGAATGGCAACATTTGACAAATTCTCTCATGCTCTTCTTATGGAAAGGGAATTATGAACTAAATGATGATCTGGTGGAGTGAATTCAGAGCTAATTAAATGGCCAGGCACAGACAAGAGTCATTAATGGCTCAGTGGAAGGAAGTCACCGGTGGGTGAAGTGCCACAGGATCTTAGCTTGACCCTGTGCTGAGTGGATGAAGGGATAGATTTAGCATCAGACTTGGAGATGACTCAGTGCTGGGAGGGAGCTAGAACATTAGACCGAATAAGGATAAATGAAAAGTTTTACACCTGGATTCAAAAAGCAGCGAGACAAGATGGAGAGAGATGACTGGCCCAGAGTTTCGTTGATAAATGTGTGGGGGTTTAGCAGCAGGATACGTTGTCTAGGAAAGCTAATGTGGCTTTCCAGAGTAAGAAGGTGATGTTCCTGGGGGGAGTGCAGGGGCAGTGTTGTGTTGTCTGGGGGCCATGTTTTAGGAAGGATGATGGTCCACAGGAGGGTGGCCAAGATGGTGAGAGCCTCAAGGTTGTGGCAAGTGAGGAGCGTTCAAAGGAACGGGGTCCATGCCTTAAAGAGAAGACTTGGCTGGCACTGTCTGTGGAGCAGGACTTCCATTCATGCTGCTGGACCCCACAGGGAAGAACTCTTGAGTGAAGGGCGGAGGTCGCCAAGAAGCATTTTTAGGTTTGATGTCAGGAAAATCGTGCTAACACAGTGGTATGCCTGTGGAAGAGAGTGCCTCGGCAGTGGATTCTGCCCTCTGCAGAGTGTCAAGGGGAAGGCTGGTGATGCCTTGTCCGGATCTGTGTTCAGGTGTTGGCTGGACGGGGTGGCCTCTGAGGTTCCTTCCAACTCCGACATTCTGTAATTGGTTTGAAAGGGATCAGAGGTCATTTGGTCCATCCCTCTGCCTCCACACCAGACTTCCCAGCCAACCTGGACTGCACTGGGTCATGGAAGGTCTTCAGGAGAAAAGAAACCAGAGTCTCACTGATCATCAGCCCTTGCTCGCTGGAAAAGGGCAGCCTGGGTTTCAGAGTCTACCAGCTGACGGCTGCCATCCTTCTTCTCTCCCCCTCCGTCCTTCCAAACTCAGGAAGCCTCCGTGGTTCTGTGGCCTCACTAGTGGTTCCGCCATCTTCTGAAGAATTCTCCATCTCTGCTGGAGCGCTCATCGATGGTGGTAGCTGAGCCAGCACCCTCTCCTCGCTCGCTCTCCATAAGATCACAGATTTAGAACCTGAAAGGAACTTAGCTCAAGTTAATGGGGTCCCCACCCGACAGTGGGAACAGAACAAACTTCACGGGTCCCACAGATAGTGAGTGGCAGGGCCAGGAGTCAGACCCAGGCCCTCTCCTCCCACATTCACCACACCACAGAGCTTGTTCATTTCTCCCTCAGGACCTGAGTGACCATGCCTCTAGCTGAGGACCGAACCGAGCAGTACATTCGCTTCCACCTCAGCGACTTCTTCCGCATCGATGTCTTGGAGATACTGTCCCACCTGCCCTGCCTCACTGTTGCTGACCAGGTAGGTGAGATGACAGAGGCAGCTTTCCCCTCTCCTGCCTCATCAGCTAGATGTCAAGGATGCTTGCCCTAGCCTGGGGGAGGGGAAACCTGCCCTAGCCTCTCCCAGGCTTGGACCTTAGCTGCAAAGACTCTTCATTGTCAGTCCCTTCTTTCTCCTCTCTGGGCCCAAAGGCTGCCACAATCCTAGGGTGGGAGGTGAGCCCTCAAAGTCCGTGGGCGGAACTTCTCTTCCAGGACAAGCTCCGCGCCTACATTGACCGCCATGGCAACCGCGACAGCGTGTGGAAACTATTTGATCACCTTCGGAAGCGCACCGACTGGGTGAACTGTCTCATCAGAGCCCTGACGGAGTGCGAACTGACGGACCTCGCCGAAGTTGTTGCCAATGTCTATGCCACCAACCAGGCCCGTGAGTGCCCCTTCTTTTGTCACCGAGCACCACCACCCAGGGGGACGAAGCCACACATCGCCTCCCCTGGGAAAAGCAGGGTCTCCCTTCCGCAGCTTTGGTGCGTCTGCGCCCTGGCACCTTTCCTCCCTTCTCTCCTCTCATTTCCCTCTTCTCCCTCCCCACCTGTGTGTGTGTGTGTGTGTGTGTGTGTTTATTCCACCTCTGTTCATCATGTCTGTCATCTCTATCTGTTGGTCATCCTGTCTGTCACATCTGTCTGTCATCTCTATCTGTTGGTCATCCTGTCTGTCACATACTTCTGTCATCTCTCTGTCACATTCGTCTGTTATTTGTCTGCCTATCCTGCTGTTCGTTCCTCAAGCATCTATTAAGCCCCTGCTGTGTACCAGGCATGGCACCGGCTCTGGATTCAGGAGGACCTGAGTTCAAATCCGGCCTCAGACACATGACACTTACCAGCTAGCTGTGTGACCCTGGGCAAGTCACTTAACCCCATTACCTAGCCAAAGAACAAAAACAACCGAACAACAGCAAATGTTCCAGACATTGTAGTAGGCTCTGAGTATCTAGAAACATTTTTTTAAATCCCTGCCTTCAAAGAGCTTTCATTTTATTGGGGAAGTAAAGTGCAAAGATAAGTGAATAGAAATAGATACAGAGTAGCTTGGATGGATCAGGAGGCTCCCTCAGACTTAATTTCGAGGGAAGCTTGGGATTTCAAAGGCAGAGGTGAGGAGGGAGGGCATTTCAGGCAGAAAGCAAGGGTGCTGAGACCAGATTTGAAAGATCACAGGAAAGGACGAGTCAGAGGTCCCTTGGCCTGAAGGTAGGAAGGGAAGTGAGGCGGGGTGAGCCTGAGAAGGTCTGTGGCATCCGCCTCATGAGCGACTTTAATGCCAGACGCAGGTGTGGTTGGTGTGTGAGCCGAGGAAGAGCTTAGAGAGGTACTCCAACCCCTGAGTTGGCTTTCTGTTTTCAGAGTGAAACAAGGGCATTTGGTAGAGCAGGTTGGGGCTACTGAGATGGCCTGCTTTTTACTGCCCGGCCTACATGACCTTTGGGACCAAAGCCTGACTTTACTGTAACCTTGCCTGACTTTTTGTTCTTCCCCTTCCATCCTCCACCCTCCAGCAGGGTTCCAGACCCGTCCTGGAGGCATCACTGCCCCTGTTCCACCCAGTGTCCTAACCAGAAGCCATCAGGTGTCCCTGAACACTCCACCAGGACCTTCTGCTGGGGCCCCAGGGCCCCACCCACCTGCCAGTGGGAGTCCAGCCACCCACCCAGGGCCTTCTTTGCCTGACACCACCTACAATGGTTACCCAGAAGAACTGGAGAGAGGGGAAAGGCAGAGCAGCCACACTGCCCCCATCCAGGACACGCAGCCACCAGAGTCTAAGAGCGAGGTATGTCTTTTCCTTCCCCCAGTTGGGATAAAGGCTTCAGGGTGGGACCCCAGACCGCTGAAGTGAGAACTACAGGTCTTTGCTCTGCTCTCACCTTTCCGTGAAGACCCAAGCTGGCTTGGTAAGAGCCCTTGGGAATCCACCAGTAAGTGTCTTTAGAAGTATGTGTGTCGTGTGAGGTTGAGGATACAATAGAATCTTACACCATCAGGAGTTGACAGTCTGGGTAGACTAGAAACAGTTAAAGAACAATCTAGGTGCTAGACTTGGGGTCCAGACTCAGTTGAGAACTGCCAGTGTTCCAGGAAGGGAGAGATGAGTGTGCCTTGGAATGGTCAGGAAAGACATTGGCAGAGGGGTCTATTTGAACCGGCCCTGGAAGGCCAGAGAGGTTGGGGAAGTTGGAAGGGATGGGGGGCAGGCAAGGGGGATGTATTTATCCACTAGGACAAAAAGTTAGACCAGATACTGGATTTACATTTGTTTAAAGAGGATTAGAATAATTAAATAAATGTTAATTCCTAAAGTCTGGAGGACACAGAACTGGGAGCTAGAGGAACAGCTCCTCCCTACTGTTGTGGTGTCTTTGGAGGGCAGCAGGGCCAAAGGAGTTCACATGGACATAACCACGTTCCGTGGAGCTTCTCAGTGATCAGTGTTCACATTTACACAGAACTTGATGGTTTTCTAAACTGCTCACTTCATCACCAAATGATAGTACAAGTACTTTCCCCACTTTACAGATGAGGAAACTGACTCAGATAAAATGACTTGCCTGGGGCTCTCTACCAAGTTTCAGAGATGGGGCTCCTTGGTCCTGACTCTGAAGTTGTCTTCTGAAAGGATTGGCTTCATTATTAATATGTTTCCTTTCTTAGGTCCCACGGGCGGCCCTGAATCCTGCCTCTTCTGGGGACACCTCCAGGAACCCCCACAGCTCCCCTGGACACTCTTCTTTCTCAGCTCCTGCCCCCACAGCCACTGGAAAACACCGCAAGGCGAGCGGAGGGTCAGGTGACAGTCCCCCAGGTAGGGTAGCTCATCAGTCCTGAAGGTTGGGACTCTACTGGGCAGACCCCATTCTTTCTTCAAAACTGGGGGGAAAGCCACCCTGAGTGACAAACAGCCTTTCTGGAGGGAGGGAGTAGCTCTGGGACTCCCTCAGAAAAGTTGAGTGTAGGGGCAGCTAGGTGGTGCAGTGGATAGAGCTCCAGCCTTGGAGTCAAAAGGACCTGAGTTCAAATCCAGCCTTAGACACTGACACTTCATAGCTGTGTGACCCTGGGCAAGTCACTTAACCGCCATTGCCTCACCAAAAAAAGAAAAGTTGAGCGTATCATCTCATGGTCGGTATCCCCACCGTGATCTCCCTAGGATTCTAGACTTGGGGGTAGAAGGGAAGGAGCCCCCTCCCTCCGGATGCCAAGTGCAGGAATGTGCTGAGGGTCATCACATGACAGGAAGCAGCAGAGCCCCGATCCGGCCCAGGGCCTCTGGTGGCATACCCAGTGCTTTTTGCACTGTTGTGGTCCATTCCGTGTTAAGAGCCTCATTTGGTGTGACTGCCATGGCGGGATCGAGGAAAGCCCCAGTCCTGCCTGTAGCTGTCTACCGGTCTTTGGGCCATTAGAAGAACTCCTGGAGAAGTCAGTGGGTCTGACCAGTCTTGGGTTCAGGCCTTCTGCCCTCATGCTCTTAAAGTTTTTTGGCTAAATGACGTCCAGGAGATTGTGATAATGGGTCGGTCCCAGTAGAGTTTATTGATCAAGATGTCTAGCGTCGGGGACAGCGAGGTGGCCCAGTGGATAGAGTACTGGCCCTGAAGTCAGGAGGATCTGAGTTCAAATGCGGCTTCAGACCAAACACTTGACACTTACTAGCTGTGTGACCCTGGGCAAGTCACTTAACCCCAACTGCCTAAAAAAAAAAGTCCAGCCTATTTTGAGACCTTTCTTTGCCATATGGGGATTTCTGTCTCTCCATGAAAGATATGTAACTAGAGTCATCTGGTTAGGTTTTGCTGGTAGTATCATCATGCTAATTATTACGACAGTGCCTAGAACACAGTAGGCCCTTACTAAAGGTTTACTGACTGATTTAAGAGTCATTCTTCTCTCAGCTGTGTGTACAGTCAGACCACTGACTTGCTAGAGAAAAGATCCAAAATAGTTTAAAAAAAAACTAGGTGAAAAAATAAAAATGAGAACAGTATAAGCATATATAATGGAAAGAATTCAATCCTGACTCCTTCAACAAATTGTTGAAACTAGAAAATAGGTAATGGATGAGTGAAAGGATATTGACACCAATTAGAATAATGTCATGCAGACATTTAACCAGTGTAAATCAGTTGCTCTAACAAGGAGACCAAGTGAGCGTAAAAGCGCCTTATTTAATAGACCCTGCATTTTTTTTGCAGAGCAGAAAAAGAGAGAGAGAGTAGACAAAGACAATGGCCGTTTAGAAAATAGACTTATTCAATTATTTATTCTCATAACAGGTTTAGAACATAAAACTTGTAAAAATCTTTTAAAAGATGACGTATAGAAACTGTATCTCTCTGTAAAGCAGCAAAAGGCCCGAGAGAGGTCCAGCTCAGCCAGGTCATTACATGGCCATTCAAAGATAAAAATGGAAGGACAAAACAGCTGCAAAAATGTTTTAGCAAACTTGCCCCTGTGGGGCCCCGGAGTCTCCACACTTGTGTGCGACAGTCTCAAATTCCTCCTCAGCAGAGGAAGCAGAAATAGGCCTCACAAAACAGCAGCTGGGCTCAGCTGATCAAACCTAGAGAAGGGGACGGTGGGAAGGGGTTTTAGGGATAGGTTCACCCGGTCACCGAAGAGGAGAAGGGGTGGAAGAAACTTCACTGATGCCTCCCAGAGGCAACCAGGAGGAGACTGACAGTGATGGGCCAGCTTCGGTGTATCAGGACACACGTACGTATGTGAGGGCAGGAGCAAGCATTTGTTAAGTGCTGACTATCTTCCAGGCACTGGATGAAGAGCTTGACAAATATTTGATCCCACAATAGCCCCAGGAAGTGGATGCTATCCTCATCCTCCTTTTACAGATGTGGAAACTGAGGCAGACATTACGTGACTTGCCCACAGTCACACAGCTAGTAAGTGTCTGAAGCTGGATTTGAACTCAGGTCTTCCTGACTCCAGGCCCAGTGTTCTATTCACTGTTCTACTTTGCTGCAGTGTATGTGTAATACATGTGTTTTTATTTACATACATATACATATGTGTGAATACAAAACGTGTGTGTACGATGTGTATGTTCGTAAAGTATACGTATGCATAGATAATGGTACATATGTACATACAGATATGCAGTACTATATTTGTATGTGTGTTTGTATGTGTGTACACATGTTTATGCATGCATGTGCCAAAGATCGTGGAGCCCTGGGCAAGAAACTGAAGACTAGGGACACAGGTAGTGTTTTCCGTACTGGTACTCTGTGAAGACGAGGATATAGAAGAGAAGAATTGTTTTGGGAAGTAAACAGATGTTAAGAAGACAGCATCGGAGGATGGTCTTTGGAGTCCTGAAGCGTGTCCTAAAATAATAGACTCCTGGCCAGGAATGGAGTGCACCTAGGGTTGTAAAGAAGGCATTTTTGTAGTGTTTTGAAAGTCTGATCAAAAGGGCTCTAAGATGAAAAGGATCAGAGGGGGAGAAGGCTGCCTACGCACCTCTGCCAAACGCAGCACCGCAGAGGGAGGCTGCGGGGAAGGAGAAGAGCTGGTGACATGCCAGGAGTTCACAGGAGGCGATCGAAGAAAGGAGCCGGCGGCAGGACCCGTGTCTCAGATGTCAAAACATAGGTGCCCAGAGTCTGGGTGGTGGCAGGCCAGGTGATGGGAAGGTTCTAACCCAGGAAGCAAACTGACCTTGTCACAGATGTAGGGGATGAAACTCATGACCTGAGTCCAGTTCTAGAAGACGGTACCATGTTCAGAAGAAGCCCATAAGTTACAGTGCTGGGGGAGGATGAGTGCATTGTATATGAAGAGAGTCTTTTGTGAGGGAATCCAAGAACCAGGGGCTGGGAAGAGAAGCATGTGAAAGGCATCGGGGTGAAGGTCAGCGGAGTGAGAAACAGGAAAAGAGTTGATCTATCAACCGCCTCCACAGGAAGAGGAAGTAGATGAGGACTTTTGGAAGCAGGCTGCAACCCTGGCACTGAGGCGTGGTAGTGACAAGGGACTTCAGCTCTCTGAGACATCTACTGGAAAGCAGAATGAGGGCTGCTTTTTGGCTTGCCTTAATGATCATTTTATTCTTTGAAAGGTGGAGGAATAATCAACCAAAAGGGGAAATTTTATCTTGTATGCAATTCTCCCTAACAGGGAAGAACTCATGGGGATGGAAATGATGGGCACGTTGAAGGGAAGTGACCACTCCCTCCTAAAATGTGTAATAGAGCAGGAGAGGAAAACTGGGTGTAGGCTGACCTGCATCCTAGATTTTGGGAGAATAAATTTCAGAGGGTTCAAAGGAAGGAGAGATAGAATCCATGGACTAAAATTCTGTAGGAGAAGTCAGCCCGGGAAGGATGGGAAACACTCAAAATAAACTCTGGAGACACAAAGGGAAACCACTCCCAGTGTTCAGAGAGATTGGTATGGATCCCTAGGAAACTGTCCGACCAACTTTGATTTTAAGAGGACTGGCACTGAAGATGAATGTGAGTGTGGTGCAGGTATGTACAAACAGTGTCAAGAAAGCTGAAGGCTGGTGAAAAAAGCTAAGGACAAGGTAATTATAGTGACTGAAAGCCACTTCAGGGTCTGGAAGACCTGAATTGGAGTCCAGCATGCATACCTGTGGGTGTGGGTAAGTCACTTAACTCCTTAGTGTTCCAGGCATATAAGTTTCAGAGAAAGTAGCTCCAAACATTGGTAGAAGGAGTTTTCTCAAGATTCACAAATCTAACCTAAAAAAGGGAAGAAAATGGAGGTGTCAGTGAAGCATTGGACCGTGGCTCCTGTCAGGTGGAATGATGGCAGCTTCGAGAGAGATGACCCAAGGACTCCACTCTGCAGCTGTTTTCTCTGTGAAGGAGGATGGCCTTTGCGTTGGAAAAGACCCAACAAAAACAGCTAATAAGCAACAAATACTCAAGACAAGTAAGGAGCTCCAGGTGCCCTGGATGAATCCCTGTGGACTAGAAGATAATACAGTGAGAAGATGCATTGAGAATTGGATGGATGGTTGAAGGGTGAGAGGTCTCTGATGGAGTGTTCAGGGAATCAGCACTCGACCCAGTATGCACTAGCATTTTTATCATCGACATGGGTCAGTCAGTGGCAGCACAGATGGTATACTTACCAGATCTGGAGATGACACAAAGCTAATGCAACAGATGATGGGATCTCCAAAGATAGTGACAGGCTGATTGATCTGAATCTAATATGATGAAGTCCAACAGGGATAAAAGTAAAGGCTTGAACATGGGTTCCAAAACCCAGATTTACAAATACAAGATGGGGGAGGTATGGTTAGACAGTGGAAACAATTAGGAAGTTTTAGTGGATTATAAACTTACCCTGAGTCAGCAGTGGGATGTGCCAGCAAGAAAAGACATGCAATCCTGGGTTGTGTGAAGAGGCAGGCTTCCAAGTTGTCCCTTTCCCCTCTGCTTTGCACAGACCATGGCGGGAATGTGGTGTTTAGTCTGGGGCATCTCATCTTAAGGCACTCATTGACCTTTCAAAGCAGGGATAGTGAAGAGCCTGGAGAAGAGATTTGGGAAATATCACAGCTGGTTTCATTTGTTTTTTTCAAGATTCAGTCTCCCTTATCTCACCTAGGTTGGAAGTGCAGTAACATTTAGAGGCCCCATTATTCTGATCAGCATGGGAGCTTTAACCAGCTCCATTTCTTCTGACTTAAGCTGGTGTGCCCTTTCCAAAGACCCTCTTTCCTCTTCCCTCCCTGACAGGCTCACCATATTGGTGCTGGACTTTGAATTCTGAGTCATCGTTGGCTTGGGCCACTGCGGCTCAGACCTCCCAAGCCCAAGAGTAGGAGAGATTAGAGGTGTTGGCCACCACGCTGGAGTGGATAACAGGCTGACAGGCAGACGGAAGAGGGCTAGGGCTGATTCTGGCTGGCCCCCGAGGGCAGAGCCAGGAGCAGTCAGGGAGAGCGGTCGCCCAGCAGAATGGGTTACTTGGGCCTTGAAGCAGAAGCCAGATGACCACAGGCTGGGCATGTCACAGGGAGTTAGAGTCGGACAGGCAGATCACAAAGTTCTGTTAAAGCTTTAAAATTCAGTGGACTTTGGTAGGTGTCAGTGGGAGGGGTGGCCGTGGTGGCCGTCTGCCTGCCTTTTGGCCTTAGCCCAAAAGAGCTTAGTCCCTTAGAGAGATCTGGACTGGGTCAGCTGTTAGAAGCTGAAGCATGAGCCACCTGCCCCTCATCCCAGTGGAGAATGGCCCCAAATCCAGTCAGCCCATCAGCATTCCTCAAGGGGGCTGTCATGTGCAAATGGAGGGGCTTACCAGTGGGACAAGGGTTCCAGGGCCGGTGGGATCTTCCAGGCTGAGACAGCAGCTGGGGAAGGTGGTGAAGGACGGCTGGCCTGGAGGAGGCCCCCGTGGAGAGGGGTGGCGTAGAGGTGCAGGTTGGGCTAGCGTGACATTCTGGGAGAACCATCAGCAATTACAAGTGTTCTGCCTTTTCGTTTCCACCCCTAGCTTCTGCCTCTCTCCCACCACCTCCTAGAGGCCCTGTGTCTCCGTCTGTCTCCTTTGTGCCTCATTCTAAGAAGGCAGGCCCCACATCTGGACCCCGGTCACTGCCTTCCCCGCCTGAAGCATCCTTCCCCCGTGCCGCACAGGATAATGAAAATCAGCCAACGGCTGCCTCTCCCCTCCAAGGCGCAGGCCTGCCCGCCAGCAGAGAGCCCCCCACCAGGATCCTGGGGCCACAGAAGGTAAGATCTCCCTCCCCCAGCAGGAAGGATGTCCCAAGTCCTTTTGGGGGTTAGTGGTCCTGGGTTTAGCCCCCTACCAGGTGGCCCAGCGGAAACTTTGAGAAGTCAGTCATGACTTTCCTTGACACTGGCCTTACACAGGGCAGGGATGGCCCCCAAGCGTCCCTGCCTCCCTTTAGTGACCCACCAGGGAGGATCCCATTCTCCAGGGATTTCTCTGAGCCCTTCCTGGCCCTGTTTATCCTCTCAGCCTGGGTCTTCCTCGTGGAATGAATCCCCTGTGCTCACTCCCTGCTGGGGAAAGTGGGGTAGCTGAGATTTGGCTCCCTGCAGCATCCTTTGGGCTCTGGGGTTTGGGGAGCAAGGGTGGATGGCACCCCAGCTCAGCTCCTTCAGAGGGCCCCTGTGGACCTTCATCTGCCTAGGACGAAAAGGACTCTTATTTTGATCTGACTTCACACAGCCTCTGGATCTCGACTCCCCCTTGCCTTGAGTGTGCAGAACTTTGGGGCCAAAGGCTCGTTGGCCGCTAGATCAGGAACAATTCGGTGTCTAGCCCCACTGATTCTGCATCTCAGGCAGGAAGGGATCCGCATGTCCATTTTCCCTGTGGGTCTTGTAGTTCCTGACTTTCAGGAGAGAATTTGTCCTAGAGTCTCAGCAGCATTTTGTGCCCTGAATGACTTCCATGTCTGGACAGTGCCAGAAGTGCGGGAAAGGGGAAAGGGGAGTGAGAGACCCCCATTGGACCCTGGCCCGGATCCTCTTCCTGTTGCTACCCACACGTCCTTCTGCCCTCTGCAAACACCCACTGGCTTTGCTACAGTCCCAAGGAGGTCTGATGTTCAAGGCTGAAGGCTGGACTAGTTTGCGGACTTCTGGGCCTGCTGATGCAGCCTTTGCCTCACCTCTGGCCCTGGCAGCCCCAGGCCCTCCCATTCGGTGACGTCCAGCCCCGGCGTCCCAGTGACAGCCCAGATTCTGTTTCCCTGCAGGTGCCGCCTTTGGCCCCGAAGTTCCCCAGCCCTGTGTCCCAGGTGCCCCCTGGGCCAGCCCCGTCAGGGCAGGTGCCCCTTCCCCATGTGCAAGCGATGGAGGTGAGCAAGCCTGGGGTGCTTCACTCGTGTGATGACCAGCCCTACTCCGGGGGCTCTGAGCGCCTGCTGATCAGCAGTGACTCTGGGAGCAAGTCCCTCCACATCAGTAGCAGCAGCTCTGTGAACCTCCCTGAGGAGAATGACTACTTCTCAGTCACCAATATGCCTTCCCCTGGGAAACCAGAAGCCAGTGGTCCCCCCGAACAGGTTGGGGGCTCAGAGAGCCCTTCCCTGGGAACCATCGTGCTCCACGTTGACGAGAGGCCCAGTGAGGGCCTCCTTGGGAGCGGTCCTGGCGTGGGCCAGACTCCTGGCACTGCAGCCCAGCCTGAAGTTGATCCCAGTAGGAATGGCTCCTGGGCAGTGTGGCTGGGGTCTGCTGTGGCCGTGGCTTTCTTTTCTGTGGCCTTGGCCCTCATTTATAAGCGCATCAAAAAATAAGGGGCCTAACAGGGTCCCCTCCCTCCCCCTGAAGTGTCACAGCCTGTGGCCAGCCCCCCATCTAGGGGCAGGGAAGAGGAATTGTTGCAGGCTGAGGTGGAGGGAGGAGCCCTGGGGGCATTCCAAATGCCCCCTGTGTTCATGGGGTCATCTAACCATGACCCATGAGGCTGGCCCCTAGGGCCTGGGATGGTCATGCCAAGAACCTGCTTCCTCCTCTGTAAAAAGGAGGGGGTCATATGAGATGCCGTTTAAGGGCCGTAGGCCCAGAGAGCCCTGAACGTAGTCTGTGTACCCTTCTGTCCCCCATCCACACGCTTTGTGCCCAGTTGTAGCTTCTGCAGTGGCCATCCGCGCTCTTCTGTGTTTGTGAGACATTTGATGCAGGGAGAGGGGGCCCAGAGTGGGGATTTTGGGAAGTCTGTTGGTTGAGGTCTATCATTCATTTATCCAGCTCAGTCGCTGGCTAGTGGAGGAGGCGGACAAGATGACCTCGTCTCTGCACTGGGGTTCTTGTGGACAGGAGGGGCCGCAGATCAAACCTTGCAGCCCTCCAAGCTGTGGGCCGCCTTGGGAAGTAATGACTTCTCGGGCACTGAGGGTATCCCAGCATAGTCTGAATGACCGTCTTTCAGGAAAGTGAGAGAGGCCCTCTCTTAATGCTGGCTGACCACCCTAGCCAGCTCCTCCCCACCTCCCGCTGGTAGTGGGGTCTCTTGTTGAGACCCCCCTGTGCTAGGCCTGCCAAGGAAGCAAGAGGGGATGGACCCTGTTCTTGAGGAGCTGGGGCAAGTTGGGGAGAAGAAAGCCTCGTGAGAAACAGGGAGTGTGTCAGGCTTTAATCGAGTTGTCAAGCCTATGCCCAAACCCCACCCCCCACCCCCCAGTGAAAATGAAACCTCCCGGCCCTGCCCATGGCCAGCAGGGCCGAGGGGGCAGAGTCCCCCTCCCTGTGCTTTCCCAAGGAGGCCTTTTGTGCAGAGTCCGGCCTCAGGAGCTGGTGGTCACAGGAGAGGCCTTCTCTGCGCTGCCCTCGGGCTGAGCCGGTCGCCTCCGTCTCAGCTTCACGGGGCTAAAACCCAAGCCCGGAAAGGATGGCCAGGTGCTTCTCATCACCCACACCCAAAACTTCCACGGCATCACCAACTCCTCACCATCCCATTCATTCACAATTGCTTCATGCCTATCCCCTTCCCAGCCCCATTACCCCTGGCACAAGGTAGAAAGGCCACTGGACAGGGAGTAAGAAGTCTTGGGTTCAGATCCTGGCTCAGCTACTTTTCTGTTTTTTTGGGGCAGGCCTCTTTCTCTGAGCCTCAGTTTCTTCAACTGTAAAGTGAGGGGATTGGATATTCTAAGGTCTCTTCCAGCCCTGAATACTATGGCTAGCTGGCCTTCAGCTCACGTAACTCCGGCCCGCCTCTAGCGTCTGCCTCCCTCGGGTCGCTGTAGCCCCGTCTCCTGGTGTTCAGCACCAGCACCCCCTTCCTCATAGGGTTCCGCTCAGCCCACTGAGCTGCCTTCCCCTCTTGCCCTGCTTCTGACCCGTCATGATGTCACTGCATCATTCGTGTCTCAGGGATCCCCTGGTCCAGGGATGAGGAGCCTGCAGCCTCATGGTACACATGGCCCTCTAGGGCCTCAGGCACGGCCCTTTGACTGAGTCCAAACTTCACAGAATAAATCCCCTCAATAAAAGGATTTGTTCTGTAAAACTTGAACTCGGTCAGAAGGCCCCACCCAAGGACCTAGAAGGCCACGTGTGGCCTCGAGGCTGTAGGCTCCCCACCCCTGGACCAGGGCCTGGTCCAGCCTCCGTGCAGCCACCTTGGCAGTGAGGGGCAGAGCTGGAATTCAGATCTAGAATAAGCGGCTTATCGAGGGAGCATCTGCTAGGCCAGGATCCCAGACAAAGCTGGGCCCTACCCTCCAGGAGCGTGCATGCTGTTTGGGCTTGTGCTCTCCTACCTCCAAGGAGATGCCTTGACAGTGGCAGCCCGCGTTACGTGTATCCTCAGGCGCCCTGTATCGTCCGTGGCACTTGTGTGGCGTACCTCGAGAGAAGGGGCCTCGTCACTCTCCCTTGTCGAAGGGACGTAGAGAAGGTGTGAAGGAATGACTAGTGTGAGGGGGTGAAGACTGCAGTCTTGAGGACAGAGGAGGGGAGAGGAGGGCTTCCTGTTGTCTCTAAATCCCCCCAGTTTGGCCCCCCACCTGCAGATCCTTCCCCGGTAACTGCAGCCCACTGCCTTACGTGTGATGTGCTGATTAAGCTGGAACTTAGTGCTGTTGGCTCTGATGCACCGCGGGCCACATTGTGGGTCCCAGTCTGCCTTCTGCCAGGCTGTTTATCCCCAAGGAGTCCTCTGATGCCCAAAGCATGGAGAACCCCCACAGGTCCTCCATCCCTCTCCTTACAACCCATTTCAATCCAGTACCTGTAGGCAAGAGCGTTGGAAGCCTGGTCTTGTGCTATGCACACCTTATCCCAGGTCCATTTTCCCGCATTTAGTGAAGAGGTTGACAGGAAAGAGTTGGTTGTCTTGTGCCCACAATCACCCCCCTGGAACCCTGTGATTGCTTGCCGGCATCTACAATAAAGCTGTTTGGAGAAATGGACAGCAAGAGGTGACACTCACTGGCTGCCAGGACTTCAGGGGTGACTGGAGAGGCCCGGCTCCACCTGGGGCAGGGGAGGGTAGGCGGAGGGTAGGCACAGCCCTTCCCAAGTCAGGACGTAGACAGGAGGGGGAGGGTGGGTGGGCAACGTTTTCTGGAAGGAATATGTTAGACCCCATTTGTCAGAGCTTCCTTGTCCTTCCCTGTCAGGTCACTCCCTTTGCTGCAGAAGCCCTTAATTCTAAGCCAATAGAGGGTTCCCCAGAACCAGCATGGGGGTGGTCTGGTCCTTTCACCCCGGACTCCTAGCAGTCAAGGCCTAGGTTGTAGCAGTGACCCTTGGCATAATCTGGAGTTGTGGGAAACGATCTGGTCTGGCCTTCCCATTTTACAAGTGAAGAAACTGAGGCCCAGCGATGCCATGACTCAAACAAGGTCACAAATAGAGCTCCTCCCATTGTATCATTGGTGCTTCCTCTACCACAAGGGGAGAGGAGATTTAGTGGAAGCAGATTTGGACTGGGAGTCGGACAGCCCGGGCTCAAACCCGAGTTTTGTTATGTGCTCCTGGAGTGACCTTGTGGAAGTTCTCCCTGCCTCAGTTCCCTCATCTGTGAGGAAGGGTCTGGACAAGATCTAGGACTCAGGAGCTGACCCCCTTCTTTATTTGTAAGGGGCTCAGCACGGTGCCTGGTACATCGTAGGCGCTATATAAATGCTTGTTTCTTTCCCCTTCCTCCATTCCACCTTCACACTCTCATCCTCGCTCCTGAGCATCTCTCAGTCTCCACGGCCAGGCACGGCCCCTCCGGCTCAGGCCCGGAAGGGGTTAGTCCCGGGCCTCGGACCTGCCCGCCCCACACTCAAACCCCCGGAAAGGCGTGGGAGGGGGCGGCCGGAACTTCCCTGCTCTGTCAGAAGTCGGAGCAGGGTTTGCTTTTGCTGCTGTCCCTGCGTCAAGGAAGAGGGGGTGCTGCGTGGGCCCCCTGCATCTCCCCGCCTTGCCCTTCGCGGGCCATGGCTTCCGACCTCTCGTAGCGGTAGAGCCAAGATCCGAGGGCCGCGCAGTGCCCCCTCCACCCCCTGTTGTAAGTTGAGGGAGGCCCCGCCCTCCTGGGGACCTGACCCGGGCCCCACCGAAGGTTGGGGGGGCGGGGCTGGATTCCTGGAGCCTGTGGGTGGTCAGGCTAAAGGGGGGGAGGGGGGACTGGGGACTGGGTGCGGTTCGCATTACAATGGAGTTCCCTGCAGGGTCCCCACGAGGAGCTCCCCACCCCAAGTGTGGCTCGGCCAGCCCCGGGGGGCAGTCACCCCCCAGGTCGTGGGACGCCCGGAAAGCTAGGCTGTCCTGGGGTCTGCAGGCATCCTGTTGCTGTCACCGCGAGGCTGCGGAAAGCGAGGCTGGCCCGCACTGCGGGAGGCTGCGCTCTCCCCGGCTGCGGGGCGGGGCCGCAGCCTGCCCCGCTGCCCCTCCCCGCGGGCCGGGGGCGGGCGCTGGCCCGGGCCAATGAACGGGGCCGCCCGCCTGAGTGACGGGAGCCCCCCGCCCCTGGCCCGCAGTCAAGCGCTGCCTCCGCCCCCTCTGTCCAGCTCCTGCCTTCGCCTCCCCTTTTTCTCGCTGCTTCCTCTCCATCGGCATCTCGCTGCCTCTGCTCCGCTGCCCGCGCTGCTCCCGCTCGGCCTCGTGGGCCGCCGCTGGCCGCAGCCTCCCTTCGGCCACCCCGCCACGCCGTTCTTCGTCTCCCTCGCCTCCGTCCTGCCCGCCCTGCCTCCGCTGCCGGCTTTCCCGCAGTCCCCATTCATTGTCCCCTGCCTCGCCTGTCCCCGTTCCCTGCCTCCATCTCTGTGGCGGGGGGCCCCTGCCTCGCCGTCCCCGGCTCTCCACCACCCTCCTTCCCTCCCCCATCCCGTCTTCCTGGACTGGGATTTCTGCAGTCTCCCCTGTCCCATCCACCCTCACCCTTCTGCTGCTTTCTCTGTGGGAATCTGGGAGAGGGCTGGGGTCCCAGCCCTGAGGGGGCTCCTGCAAACGGTAAGTCACATTGACTGGGGGCGGGGAGGGGGATGGAGGGGGGAAAGACTTCAGTGATAGAGAACCTCCACCCTTTTCTAGTCCTCTGACTTTTCCAGAAGCTTCTTGAGGGAGGAGGGGGTCCAGCGGAGGGGGGAAGGGCCCTCCTGACCTAGGACTTTGCATCTGTGGCTCCCCAGGGTGCCCATCCCTGGGGTCCTGGGGGCTGCAAAAACCAGATGCCAAACCTCCTTGGTAACTAGTGACGCCACCGGTGACGCACGCAGTTAACTCATTGTTGTCCCTAGCGGAGGAGTGGAGGAGAGGCCTTCCTTACGTAACCCACGAACTGGGGAGGAAAGCGCACTGGCCGAGCACTGCCTGCCGCCGCCTCCCCTTGTGTCGCTCTTGGGGCCGTAGTTTATCCTTCCGATAACGAGCAGGCGGCACTAGGTGCCTTCCAGGCCCCGTATTGTGTGATTCTAAGTATTTCCGTTGTGCCCAAGGATGGACCGTGGGAGGCAGGATTAATCCGAGTCTGTGGCCCCCCCCTTGTCCTGGCCGTCGTGGGGAGGACATCCCCACTTAGATTCGTAGAGTGTGAGATCTGGAGGTGACCTAGTGGGCATGAGCTCCCAGGAACCAGCCCATCGTGGGGCCTTCCGAGGGCTGCTGGGGGGAAAGAGACCAGGGAGTAATTGACCCGGCCTCTCCTCACAATGAGTTTCCTTTCACCAGACCAGCTCCCTGAACCTCTTCTCAGCAATCCAGACCTGTTGAAAAGGGTCTGAATTTGGATCGGAGGACTTCTGTCCAAATCTTGCCTCGGTCTGATTACCAGTGTGACCTTGGGCAAGTCATGTCATCACTGGGCCTCAGTTTCCTCATCTGTAAAATGAGGGGATTGGGCTCGATGGTTGTTGAAACTCCTTTCAGCTCTAAATTCTTTAATCCTAGGAAAATATAAAGAAAGTTCTCTTTTCTCCATCTCTGCTCGGAAGAGGTTTCCCAGATTAATGCCTTCGAGGAGATCTTAGAGTTAGAGCTGAAAGGTTATCCTAAAGATCATCTGGGCCAAACCTTTCATTTTACAAACTGAAAGCCACAGAGCGTGTGACTAGCCCAGGTATTAAGGCAGAGCTGGAATTCAAACCCAGGACCTCTGATTACAAATCCAAGGTTTTCCGTCCTACATTTATCTGTGGACCAGACACAGCTCCTTAGGGGTCAGTTTCTTCATCTATAGAGTGGACTTGATGGTCTCCAAGACCCCACCCAGCTCTCAATCTGATCCCAGAATCCTCCTTCCCTTCCATCATGAGCACATGGCCCTCACAGCTGTCTCTACCCCTCGGTCTGGAAAAAGAGCTCTGATGACCTCACTCATACTTTGTTAGGCGTTGAATGCATTCCCCGCTGGTGGATGGATGAATTTCATAAGAAGACCCTGGGGAGGGCAGTGCTTAACACAGAGGAATGAAGTTAAAATGGTGGGATTTCAGGGACTGAGAGATGTTACTGGCATCCACTATCAATATGAGTAATCCTGGCCCCAAGGATGGGTTACATTGGGGGTGGGGGTGAGGCTGAATGTGTATGAAGGGCCTGGAGGCTATATGGAGAATGTTCAGCCTGATCAGAAGACGAAGGGGGGGGGGCACATCATTGCCATCTTTAAATATGTGAAGGGCCCTTATGAGGAAGAGAGAATAGACCTCTTCTGCTCATCCCCAGAGAACAAAACGAGTCAGTTACAAAGATGCAGATTAAGGTGTGGCCTAGGGATCGAAGTTAGCTAAAAGTGAAATGGGTAGCCTTCCTGGAAGCCTTCAAGCAAATACTGGATGACCGCTGCTCAGGTGCTTTGGAGAGAGGATCCTTGTTCAGTGTTGGCTGGACGGGGTGGCCTCTGAGGTTCCTTCCAACTCTGAGTTTCTGTGACTGGTTTGAAAGGGATCAGAGGTCATTTGGTCCATCCCTCTGCCTTCAAGCTGCGCCAGTCCTGGACAGAATTGGTTTCTTAGAGTTCTTCAGAGCGAGAGAAACTCAAAGCAGGTGAGCAGGAGAATCCTGAAGTTAGTGGCTTCTGGGAGAGGCCAGGCCCACTGACTCCAAACCCCGTGCTTCCTCTACACTAGCCATGGACCGCAAAGCCTTCGGATGGAGTGGGCAAGAAGTGTGGCCAGATTGGGAACTTGGATATGTTATCCCACACACTGGATGGAGGAGGGAGTGGCTTTGGGAGGAGTCAAGGGTAGGAATTGGGGTAAGTGGGTCAAAAGGGCTATGTAGTAGATAGCATGGTGGATTTGGAATTAGGAAGACTTAGAACACTTTTTTTTATTTGATTTAATTTTTTACTAGCATGGCACCTCAGTTTCCTCATCTGTAAAGTGGGGATGATGATACCTGTATTATAGGGTTTTAACGTATACAAAGTGCTTTGAAAATTTTACATGATTGTATCGTTATTATCTTTCAGGAGGACCTGACGACATCTTGTTCTCAGTGGTCTCGCCCAAAAAGATTGTTCCTGGGGTAAACCACTCAGTGCTTTATTTCTGCCAGTAAAATATTAATATACACATCACTTCTTGTGTCTTATTTCTTCTGCCACAATAGCATGTCCATCACCCCTTTGCCTTATTTTTTCTTGAACCATTGATACTTGAGGCAGTAATTCCCATTTTAAAAGAACCCCTCTCTTTGGTCACCGTGTTCCAAAACCATGAAACCCACTGATGGACCGCCCCTAGCAAAGAGCTCCTGAAAAGTACACGGTCCGCACCTTTGTTTAAACATGGTAGCTACCCTTTCAGCTAGGAGGGAGGAAGGGCAATGAAAAGGCAGGCCAGGAGAGGAAAGACGTCTGACCCAGTTGTTACTATAACCTGCTATTCTCTGCCACTGCCATGAAGCAGCCATTTGGAATTCTGTGGTTCTGATCACCTCATAGCCAGAAACTGCCCGTATTTCCAATTTGGATGACTCTTCAAAGTTCAGCCCAGATGCCATCTCCCTGATACTACTAAGGCACTGATGTTTCCTCCTTCCACATACTACCTCATATTTACTTTCCTGGGGGCTGTTGGGGATCTGTAAGGATGTAGAGGGCCACAGGCTGTTCATGAGGTCTGACTGATGGGCGGAGGCCCGTCTCGGGTGCTGATCTGTGAGCAAAGGTCGCCTGGCTTCCCAAAGACCTCGGTGTCCTGACCCGTGGGGTGATTTCTCCGGCCCAGCCCTTCGCTTTTCAGGCTAAAGGGGGTCCCACATTGTGGATCGTGGGTTGTTTTCTCAGCTTCCTCCACTGCCTGCCCTTCAGGCTTCAGATTACGAAAGGGGGCCCCACGTTGGGCGCCAGCTTGTTGTGCGCTGCTAACTCAGCTCACCACAAGAGCAAGGATCCTATACTAACCTTGAAGGGATGAGACCAGCTTAACCTTCTATCTTGAATGCGCATTGATGAGGCTGGAGACAAGATGGAAGCAACTCCGTTTAATTTTAACAAAGCATTCACTTAAGTAGTAAAGTAACAGGCACTTCTTCCCAAGTTACAATGACATAGAGCTCATGCTGTGCTAAGGACAGTGCATGCACATCCTGTGCACTTATCTGACTCCAATCACAGATAAACTGCTAATGACCATACAGTAACTAAGATTGTGAAAGATCCATAGAATGGAGCACCGAACCAGGCGACCTTTGCTCATAGATCAGCACCTGAGAAGGGCCTCCGCCCATCAGTGAGACCTCATGAACAGCCTGTGGCCCTCTACATCCTTGCAGATCCCCAACAGGGGGCATGTTTTATTTGCCTAACAGAATGTAAATTCAAAAACATACATTACCTCATTTTTTTTTGTCTTATCTCCAGTGTCTGGCACATCAAAGACAATAAATGTTTGTTGAATTAATAAAGATGTAGCAGCTAGAGAGTATGATGGGCAGGGCCTAACCCAGTTGAGAAAGCTTGTCACCACTTCTTGTGGGTACCTCTCCACACCACACCATACTTTGGCATGATTAGTAATGTATCTGGCTCTTCACCTCTATTTATTCCTGCCCCTTCATATCTTGTTGGTCCAGAAGTTTGGCATATAATCATTTGCCCCAGTCAAACTGTAGTTCCAATCCCTATTCTAACAGCTAATTAGGCAGCTTGAAGTGAAATGGATTTAATCAAAAGGCCCCACTTAAGGATTTAGAAGGCCCTTAAGGCCAAAGGTTCCTCCCCACTACAATCCCTCTTTGTTTTTGTTTTTGTGGCTAGGCAATGGGGTTAAGTGGCTTGCCCATGGTCTCACAGCTAGTGAGTGTTATGTGTCTGAGGCTGAATTTGAACTCAGGTCCTCCTGACTCCAGGGCTGGTGCTCATTTGTGCCACCTAGCTGCCCCCACCCACCCACCAGGGTCCCTATGGCTGATGAGCAATATGGAAGACCAGAGCTGAGAAGAGCCTTTAGGGATAGTCTGATACACCCAGCTCTTTACAGATGAAGATGCTGAGACTCAGAGTGGTGGAAGTGATTGTAGGTGACCTTTACTTCTATCAACTCATTTGGTCCTTAAAACAACCCTTTTAGGTATGCATCATAAACCCTAATTTAGAGATCGAGAAACCAAGGCTCCGAAGGGTGAGGCATGCCGCTAAAAAGTGCCAGAGCTGGGACTGGCATCAGGGCTTCCCTATTTCTGGTCTGTCGCTCTTTCCACCACTCTTGGCACAGGAACAACAGTTCCAAACCACAAGACTGTGGGAATCTAGAGATACAGGCAATTAATTGTATTCAGGGCGAGAGGCAAAGGATCCCAAACGTTGAAGGCTGCTCACCATCCTTCCAGACCCTCCCTCCATCCCTGGACTGTGGGTTCAGGTTTTTTTTGTGTGTGTAGGCAATGGAGTTAAGTGACTTGCCCAGGGTCACACAGCTAGGAAGTGTTATGTGTCTGAGGCCAGATTTGAACTCAGGTCCTGAATCCAGGGCCAGGGCTCTATCCAATGTGCCACCTAGCTGCCCCCTCAGACTCATTTCCCCTGGCAGTGGGGATGGCCTGCACTGAGCCAACCACACTCCCCTGCCCTGTCCCTTTGTGCATTGTGGTATGCTTGTGAAATGGATGGCCAAGGCCTGCTCTGAGCCTGGGGAATCCTGTCCTCTTCCACCATGTGAGCATTCCCTCCCTCGGTACAGATTGCAGTCCATTCATGCCTTCCCAACCAGGGTGCTTCTACCATAAGTTTCCACTCCATGAGCTGTAGGGCTTTCCACTCCTCTCTCTTGCTACATTCCTGGCTCACTGCCTTTTCCAATCACACATTTCTATATTTTGGCCCTTTTCTGGGGCCCTGTTTGAGTCCTTGCTGAGCAGAACACAATCCTTCCAGACTTTGCAGAAGACCTGAAGACGTGTACGAGCTCTGAGCTGGAAGTGACTTTACTAGTTCTGTCTCCCAGCCTGCTCATTCTACAGTTATGTAACATCAGGCCCAGTGAAGGGGAGGGGAAAGGGAGCAAGCATTTATTAAGCCCCTGCTATGCACCAGGCACTGTGCTACACTTTACAGATATCTCATGTGAGCCTCACAACAGCCCCCCGAGGTAGGTGTTATTATAGTCTCCATTTTGCAGCTGAGGAAACTGAGGCAGGTAGAGGTTAAGTGACTTGCCCAGGGTCACACAAGTAGTAAGTATCTGAGGCTGATTAGAACTCAGATCTTCCTGACTCCAGGCCCAGCACTCTATGTCCTGGGACACCTCTAGACATGAAGTAGCTTGCCCAAGCTTGCCCAGCATTGAAATGCTGGCTTTCTATCCATCCTTTGTGCCATGATACTTCCGCTGAGACCCTCAGTTTCCCCATCTGCAAAATGAGAGGATTGAACTAGAGAGTTTCTTGGTTTCTTTCCAACTCCAAATCCTCTAACTCTCTGAATCCTTCCCCTTCAAACGATGGACTTCCTGAGGACAAAGATTGTGTCTCGGAAAAGCGAGGAACCATGACCCCCCCCCTCCTTCCCCGCCTTCCTCCGAGTGCCCTGGAGAGGGCTCCGCACAGGAGATTGTTCTTCCTAAAGGTTGTCCACTAGCAGATAGTCTCACCAACTGAGTGACTTCCCCTGGGAGGAAGAGGAGGAGGAAGAGCTGGTTTGAAAAAACCTGCTGTCTGAATCATGAGATTCAGCTCCCCAGCACTGAGTGGGAACAGATCTACCCAGCACCCCCCAGCTAACTCCCTCCTACAGGGAACCATCTCAGATCTGTTCCATCGACAAAATGTGAGGGGAGGTCATAAGCAACTCGGCCTCATCTTCTCATGGCAAAGCTGAGTTCCAACCAGTGGTGCACTGGTAAATGTTTAACAACCAGCTTTGGGAGGGTAGTGTAAGCATAGCACATTTCATCTGCTCAACATTTTTTTCTATTGTTTTCTTCTCCCGACACCAACAAACTAAATCAAGCCCCGATTTGAAGTTTGGATATCCAAAGTGTGTACACTCATGCTGAAAATTTAACAATCAGCTTTCCCCGGTTCAAGTTGACTCCAGCACACCCCTGTCCCACCCTCCCTTCCCATTCTTAACTTCCTTCAATATCCCATAATGCAGCAATAATAACTCAGATTTCTACTGCCAGGAAAGTGGATACAGCACTGGACCTAGAGTCAGGAAGACACAGGTCTAAATCCCATCTCTAACACTAGCTGTGTGATTCTTGGGGAGCCACTTAACCTCTCTAAGACTCAGTTTCCTTCCCTGTAAAATAATGATACCTGTAGATAATCATACCCATAGAATTGCTGTACGCCAAGCACTTTGCAAAGCACAAACTGCTTTAAGATTTTCAGTGGCCTTTTCTCCCAGTAGCCCCAGGGATGTGGATAAATGCAAAATTATTATCTTCATCTTACAAATAAGGAATCTGGGGCTCAGTGGAGTTCTGGTTTGTTCAAGATCATGCAGCTACTAAGTGTCAGACTCAAACCCAGGTGTTCGGAGTTCAGTCCTCTTTTCCCTAAATCACACTGAGGGACGTCAGTCAACTAGAAAGGGACGAGAGAGAAGCTTTGCATGGGGGGATTCCTGGTTCTTGTCCGGGCTTTAACATTAAATCACTGGGGGACTTTGAACAGATTGTTTACCTTTTGGAACCTCAGTTTCCAGATCTGTACGTTGAAATCAAAGTGCTTAAGCCTTGGTTATGTGCTGAGGACAGTCTAAGCATGCGGAGGGACTCAGATTAAATAAAACAGTTTGTGCCTTGGGGCTTCCAATACGGGGAAGAAGAGTAGAATACAAAATCCTCATCCTTGAAGAGTTCATAATCTTGTTTGAGACACAAACACACACACACATTACAGAAATGAGGGGGAAAAAGGCTGTGTAATACTATAATCAAAGTACCCCCAAATGTGATTTGACTCAATTCAATTTAATTCAATAACTGGCAATAATAGCGTGCCGGACATTGTACTGAATGCTAAGTACGGAAAAGCTAGGGAGCATTTGGATAATGTTTTATGGTTTACAAAGCGCTTTACAAACATGGTCTCACAACAATGCTGGGAGGTAGGTGATAGTATTAGTCC